TACTGTGATCATCAGATTTCCTATAGTACATATCACTAGAAATCTGGAAATCTAGAAATTAGAAATTAAATATCGAAAATTAAATATAAAATAAAATATAAATATGAAAAAAATAAAAATAATAAAAAACTTGTTTTCTTCAAATTAGTAAATATCTAATAGCAGATGCTATAAATACAAAACTCATATATCAACGTAGAACTTGCTTTGGGTGTTGCAAATGCTTATATTGTGCGATAGATTTGTGCAATTATACTTGCAAGTGTAAAAAATTATTGGTGCCAACTAAGAAAAATAGAACCACTGAGGTTAAACAAGCATATTCATGTCTTTATGAACCCATTTAGGTAGCACCAAAATTTGAATATATTCATAAAAAGGTTATGAAATATAATTATCAAGTCAACTTAAAAAAATCTTTCAAGTTTTTTCTTTGTAGCTGATGCTACAATATCTTGCTCAAGTTACCAATCCTATAACCAACTTTATAACTGATACAAATATAACATTATTCTATATAACGCTACTTAATATATATATATAATTATATATTTATATATATATATTTATTTTTTTAGGAAATAAATTTAACACATTTACTATCTATATCTGTAATGACTAGTGATGATAAAAGTATAAGTAACAATGATAAAGAATTTGAGATAAGTTACAGATTAATTATAAAAATAGCAGAAGAGTCTTTATTATCAGCAAAATGGTTTAAAGAATGTGTATTAGCTATAGATAGATTTCTCTTATCAATTTATAAAAAAATTATTATATTAACAAAGATGATACACTTGTATCAACTGATTATAATATAGTATTCAAAACATCAAAAGAGACTAGTACTCAGTTGGCCGATATACAAAACTTCATTAAATTTAAAGCTGAATCTATAAAGTTAGCCAAAAAAATACTGATATTAAAATTTATACAACAATTATAAAATCAAGTTCTTAAATAAAACAAAAAAAAAGTACATATATATGTCAAATTTGTGTTTTCAAATATATATTATATTTCAATTATTGTATAATCAAAAAATAATTTAGAAAGCAAATTTGAATAATAATAATAAAGAATTCTTAACTAATTACAAAAATAGTAATAGGATTCTACATCTTTCATCTTTATCTTTATATGACCAAATAATTGCTAAGAATATATTAAAAATTCGATATTTAATTTCTAATTTCTAGATTTCCAGATTTCTAGTGATATGTACTATAGGAAATCTGATGATCACAGTA